TAAAATAAGAAGCTGCTCAAAGCATTTGAATTAAACAACTGAACCCATCTGCTTACAATAGCAGCTACTTCTAAAATATGCAATTCTTAAGAAAACAACAACTTTCTATGCAAGATGCATTTCCCTACATAACCTGACATGCAAAGTAGTAGTAAACACATCAAATCTTAGAACATTTTTGATCATATAGCTGGCAAAAAAGGAAAGTCTTCCATGGTAGGGGTTATGTTATGTGCAGTATATTTGTCACCACTAGGAGGCAGATGGCCATAAAGAACATTACAGATATTTCTATAGTGCCGACAATATATGCAGGGCTTTTACATAGTTAATATTGAGCCGACCTGTGACAGTTTCATTGTCACAAGTCGGCTCGAACTATGAGGATGAGTGATTTTCACTCGCCTCATTGTTCTCCTTTTTAAGGAGCTTACAATCACATGTATACATACAGGGCCAGTTTAGACACAAGCCAATTACCCTACTAGCATGTCTTTGGAGTGTGGGAGGAAACCGGAGTACTCGGAGGAAACCCACACAGGCACAGGGAAAACATATACACTCCATACAGATAGTGTCCGGATTGGGATATGAACCAGGGACCCTGAGTGCTGCAAGGCAGAAGTTCTTAGGCAGAAGTGCCCATTATTATTGTACAGGATTCATATAGGACCAACAGTTTGTGCAGTGCTTTACAATACAAACAAAGACAGTACAGTTACAATACAAAACCAAGATAAGATGGTAAAGAGGGCCCTGCCTGTGAGAGCTTACCATCTATGAGAATTGTCCTAGAAGAGTCACAGCAGGGCTGAGTCACAGATAGAGAAAAAGGAGAGAATGTCACAGATGTCGGTTATTAACCATGAGATAAATATGAGAAAGGTCATGTTTCTGTCTGCTCATTATCAGCGTACAAAGATATCTTTAATGCTTAAAGGTTAATACAAACACCAGAAGCCATGGGCGGTGAGAGGCACTGCACGGCTGCACCTGTTCTTTCATACAGGTGTATTGTCCAGACTGCTATTGTTTCAAAATGCTAATTTCTAACAATAGGTTGATACAACAAAAATGACAATGAGCGGAATTTACTAAGACGGGAGCAGCTGTGTATGGAAGCCAATCAGCTTCTATCTTTCAATTTCAAAGCTTAAAGTGATATTAAAGTCAAAAGGTTTTTGAGCTATTTCCAATGATGATGAAATAATTTACAATGGATGCTGCCACTTGATGTTGAAAAGTTTTAGTTTCCTTCAGAATCAGCTGGTCTTCTGAGCACTGGCCTTGATATCCAGATTTAGGGTGGCTCCCTTCCCTTGTAGAGTCCTATGGAGCCACCTTGTGTGTGCTAGTAAGCTGTGTATCTCCACAAACACACATCTAAAGTGTGTTTATATATGTATATATAAGAACAACTGGCCATTACATCTTTGTCATATTGAGCCTGATGAAGGGACCCTGAGTGGCCCAAAATGTTGCCTTCTGTATGACCAGATGCGCATACTCCAATAAAGATGTTTTTGGGTATTTTATTCTGGTGTGCTAGTGACATACTGTGTAATGCACCCATCTTCAAGGGGCATACTCGTAAGGGGTGCGGTGGGATACCCATTAAACTCCACAACACAGCAAGGCAAGCCACTACCCTCTTCCCTGCTCCTTCCTCCTCCTCTCCCTAAGCTAGTAAATAGATGGCTGCTGGAGTTTGGTCTGTCCCTTGTGTTCTTGTACTAGACAGCAAGTTCAGGGAAGCTGAGCTGAAAGAGTTGAAGCTGTTTGGAGACATGACTGTAAATGCTTGAGCAAATTAAAGACACACTTTGATGGACAATGTGTATGTGTCTGATCTGGAATTAATTGGTAAAAAAAGTTTAACTGAACAAGCTGAAGAGAGAAGCTGGTTTTCATCATGCACAGGTGCCCAGCTGCTCTAGATTCTGTCTCCTCCAGTTTAAGTAAATACTGTATACAAACATAAAAAAAATGGATCAGGTCTACAAAAAGGAACATAATAATTAATAATATTATTATTATGACTAGAGTGAGTGCGGTTGTCATTGAAAATTCGGTGGGGCTTTCAGCAATGGATCAACATATTCACATAATCAAGTAGTATGGATGGGGTTGGACCACACTATGAGAAGATTAATATATTAAAATGTATGTAAAAGAAAGTAGGGTACCAACACAGGGTGGTGGAAGAGAGATACGTGGTTAGATTGCTGGCATAAAATCATATTAAGAGTAATATTAACAATAATAATAATAACAATAACACTAATAATATAAGTATACAGGGTAGGCAGGAAACTGATTGGTGGGCCAAATATACAGTATATAAGAAAGAAGTGATAGTAATGCAGTAACCATATATGGAAAGTGCAGTAATCATAATGGATCAGTGTGCATAGATAATATAGAAGACTTGAGTGTAACAATTGCAGAGAGAGGGTGAAATGATAAAGTGGATAACTGATAAAGAAGGGAGTGGAAAGTAGGCATGTGCGCAGGCAAAAATGTTGTTTCGATTCGTTTCGGATCTTTCGTTATTTTGTCGATCGGGATTAGGGTCCGAAAGCCAATTTGTTTCGTTATTCATATGATCCGAAATTTTCATTAGTTTCGTATAAATAACAAAAAATTATAACATAAATAAAATAACTCAACACACAGCCATTAATGTCTTGTGACGGTCGTTCGGGGTTGCGGACCGCCTCGGGACTAAGTCGCACTGCACAGGCTCGACGAGGGAATCCCTCTACTCGGGGCCGCGCGCGTTCGCGGTACCACACAGGAGCGCCTCAGGACTCCGCCCCCTCTCACCTCCAGGCTGGAACTTCGGACGGCGCAAGCGCACCTCAGGACTCCGCCCCACTTCGTTCGAGCAGTCAGCTTAAAGGCGCTGCTCGCTAATTGATCAGCGTCCTACTGTTGGTTGTAGCAGGACGCTGATCAATCAGTTGTCCCCCTTGACTCCCATCCGGACCCTATCTAAATGCACAGCAACCCCTCCTGAGTCTCCCTGTTTCTTGAAGACTCCACAAACCGCAAGTATATGGGCTAGGACCCATCTGAGACTGGTATAGTGCTGTGCTGAACTCCTTTGACATTTCATATATGTTTCAACTATTTGCTCATAGCATTTAACCCTGTGTGATATTGCTGTTGTGCTGAACTCCTTTGACATTGCATAAATGCTGCAACAATTGCTTTTGTCTCACTAGTTAGGTTACACAAGCAGTGGGGAAGCCCGCTGCTATGTAACCTAACAAAGCTGGATGCAGCACTGCCTGTAATTAATGGGCAGCGCACCGTCCATGACAGGTTACAGAGAGGGTTGGCTTTCCCTGCTGTGTAACCTGATAGAAGCCGATCTGAATGGAGAAAAAGCTGTCAGCTTCAGATTTGAAACTGACAGCTTTTTCCTCCATAATACTAGGTGAGGCTCTGCCTCACCTGCCTCCCCTGACCGCACCTCCCTGCAATAGGCACATACTGTATATTTGAAAAGTGAAAACTGTTCTAATCCATAAATACTAAACAACCAATAGTCCTAAAAGAGGTGGACCATTCCACAATGAACTGCAAAATGTATGATTGCTCCAACAATTACCTAATGTATTTCAGTTCTACAGATATAAAAGAATCAAAGAACCTTTTCGAGGAACCTGATACTTCTTCTGTGGATTGTGTCACGGAATATACTCCCTCCCGCCGTCTTAGTGTATTTGATGTGGTTGCTTGGAAACAGACCACTCATATTATCTTGATGAGTGCATTTTGACAAGTACAGAAACCAACTGCCCAAACTGACACTAAACTAAATAGAGACAGTTCTGGAAATATTACTTTATCAGCCAAGTTCTCTGTTTACAGTCGATGCATTTTTTATTCTGCTCTATGGACGAATGCATAGATACAAAGAATAATGCAAGATTGTAAGCCCTCAGGGGCAGGGCCCTCCTTACCATCTTGTCTTGAATTGTATTGTAACTGTAATGTCTTCCTTATATTGTAAGCGCTACGCAAACTGTTGGCGCTATATAAATACTATGTAATAATAATAATAATATCATAAGGATTAACTAATCAAATACTCTGCACAGATGTATAATTTCCCACAATGAGAGTGCCCTGGTACGTGTATTATATGTTTTTGTATCACCTGGCCCTGACCCCTCATGCGACTTAAGTGTCTTTGTTGGCTAGTGAGGCTGTCTATCACAGTGTTGGGCCAAAGAGAGCATGAGGACTCGTAGTAGTGAAACCAGGCACTTAACCCAGGAATCTATGTCAATATGCACATATCAGAATGCCCAGGGATTCTAAATTGCTGACTATTAACAATAGTTAACCTCTGTGTTGAAAAACATTACACAATGAAAGGCTTCTTTCTTCCATAAACGTGGAGACACATCCTTTATTGAAGACCATAGCGAGACGGTGGATCGATGCTGCGGTCCTGAGAGCTTCTGTCTGAGCGTTTCCGGCTGCTTATCACAGCCACTACCTCACGGTGAGTGCACCTTTCGAGGGGATATATGTGGTATTAACCCCTATCCCCAACATAGTTCACGGAACTTCTTTTGAACACCTTTTTTTTGAATATTTTTTCGAATACTTTTTGAACAGTCCTCTTTGGATTTTGACACATCACATCATTCAACAATTATACGGTGGTTGTCACTAACAACAATTGGTTCACATACCCTGTGGGATCAATGATCCATGGCCAATGATGGTTTTTTAGAAAGACTTCATTAACATTCATGTGTGCATTATACTATTATAGTTTATACATTTGAGTCACATATATTTATTTGATTTCATGGTTTATGATATTAACACGTTATATGTTGCGGGCGCTGCATAATTTGAAAGTTTAATTCTCTTCATATTCTCTTCCTCTTTTTGCAAAAGGTTAAGAGAATAGTTCTGACCTGTACACAAGTTAGAACATCTCCATTTTCCATAACAAGCACTTCAGACATTAAAAGCCCTTAACTATTTACACAAATGTATCTTACTTGTGTATCACTCGACTGGAGATCTTCAAATCATTCCTGAATTGGGGCTGGCACTGTCCTTCCTTCTGGGGGGGGGGCTACTTTTGTTCCCCATGGTCCCTGTGTGTGTTGTAAAGTAGCCACCGCTCCAAGCTCACTCCTGTGATAGACTATCATACCACGGTTAGATTATTAATTTGTAATAAAATTAAAGTCCTTCATGGGAGTGAGCTTGGAGCGGTGGCTACTTTACAACACACACAGGGACCATGGGGAACTTTAAACAGTTCCAGGGATCACACTGGGCAATCAGGGGATGGATACGACTATTTAAACCACCCTAAAGTTAAACTAAGAAAGGAAAAAACATTATGACTGCACAGCATTGTTTTTTATTAAACAATTCTAGCCCCAACTCCAAACTTCGGCTTTACCTTATCAGTGCTTTCGAGAAGTGTTTCATGCAAATATAACCTTATAGTAACCAGACCTAACTAGAAAACCAGAATGAAAGAAATAGAATTTGGATTCCATGTAAGGCAAGTTAAGACAGTTAAAAAAAATGTAAGAGCAGCCAAGAGATGCTTCAAACCTGGAGTAAGACACGTAAGACTTTCCCTTCAATGAGAACCAATCACAGAATTCTGTGATAACAGTAAAAAGGCTTGGAGTGTATATTCAAGGACACTCAACCGAGTTTTAGTTAAAGTTTCCAAAAGTCCATTTCTGTTGTTAAAATTAACAAGAACTGCACTCACTGCCATGATCATTATACAAGTCAACACCCTTGCCAAGAAACATGTCATCAACAAAGGAGCCGGTTTATGCTGCGTTCAGTATATCTTCCCACGTTATGTCTTTTTTTCCCACCTCGTCACTATGACATTGAGGAGCAAATCATCAGTTTTAGCAGGAGAATCATGTTCCTGACATTTGTCAGGTTTGCATCTTACCTAGAGCAGCCATAGCAGTCTTTGGTCTCTGTGGAGTCTTGTCTGCAGGTCTGAAAGGCTTCACATCACTACCTAGCTTGGAGGATATAGTCAGACATGCGCTCAAGTGGTCACATTTCTCTTTTTCAGGCAATGACTTGCTTTTATCTCTCAGATAATTCAGCTGTTCCACGAACTGTGGCTTCAGGATATCACCATTAAGCTGCAGATAAAAATACAAGAGATGGAACAGGTGAGTTGACCTTTATTGCTTTGTACTACTGCTAACTTTAGTAACCCACACACACGTTTCCAATACTGCATGAATATTCTCTGTTCACTGGCTGTCAAATAATGAGTTTGCTGTAGACAGAAGAGCCAATGACAAGTGCCAAATGATGACATCATGCCAAGAAATCCAACGTCCATGTTAGACGTCCAGGAGAATCTGTGTTCTTTGATGGCCTGGTGCTGCCTGGTTAGGGCTCACCTACCCAATATAGGTATGTGTGCAGAGCCATTTGGCTAAGTATAATCTTTCAATCCCAGTTTTGAGATGGGTGCTTAGTGATAATGAGATGTGCTCCAAATGCTACATTTTAATGCACATATGTATGAGCTCTCGCTATGCAAAAGGTTTCAATGGCACAATGTAGACTTGCAGGCCCTATCATTAGCTGCAGTTCAGTGGGACCTCTGTTCCCAATACACATATTTGCTTTTAGCCTCAATAACTCCTATGTATGTCACAAAGATAGCTTATTGCTACAAAAACAAAAAAACTGGAATGGAAAAATCAGTCCAATTTTTCAAGCACCTCTAAACTTTTTTCATTAGTGGGGCTTTGAAGAGATATGATAAGCAAGCTGGTAAATCAACCCACTGGCGCTCACTAAACTAAAATATTAGCTCAAGGCAGAGTTGACCTTTAAATCCCTGAAGGCCTCAGGCAGGTCAAGTTATGAGCCTGATGTTCTGAGTGGACCTCTTAGTAGCTTTACAAGTCTACAGCAACTGTAAAGCCTTTAAAGCTTAACTGTGGCTAGAAGCTCCATCACCAAGCTTCACTCCCACCACTTTCCTCCCAATTATAGTTTATAAAAGCACACACTAAAAGCCTCATATACTTACCTAAGTCCATGGTGTCACTAATGCACTGAGTCTCTATCTATTCTATCTCCTGTGCTGCAGGGTGGGAGTGTCCTTCTTTAGGTACCCACACTGCTTCGGGTATCCAAGTGGATTTTTCCTATTGGCTATCTATTGGCAGAGTACTCACAGGTCCTGAAAAGCCCAGCAGTAGTGCAATGTACAAATAGGGGTGGGAATACGACTGGACAGTAGCATGGATGGACTGCAGTGCTGCATCACTGGTCTTCACTCCTGGAAGGGGGCCATGGACCCAGAAGTCTCAGACTCCAAGTCTGAACAGCCCACTGTAATGCGTAGTTTGATGGAGGGTGGGGTCAGAAACCTATGAATGGAACGTTTCTGATCCGCCACACACACACTCACAGTCCTGCGCACATGCCTGCCCATTCTGGATACTATTTCCATGGGCATGATAGGAATTGAAGTCCCCATTGAGCGGGGATGAAACACTAACAGGAAGTGACGTTGCCGCTTCTGGATACCTCCTCCTGATATCAAGGGGTTGCAGATTTGTCCGTGTGGAGCCATGATGTCACTGGGGGGCATTTACTAAAACTGGAGCAGATGCCCATAGTAACCAATCAGCTTCTATCGTCAGCTTTGAAAATAAAAGCTAGAAGCTGATTGGTTGTCATGTACAGCTGCTCCAATTTCTGTCTGCTCCACTTTTAGTAAATTACCCTCTCTTCTTAAAGTAATATTTGTTTTTTTACGTTAATGCATTCTCTGCATTAAGCTAAAAAATGCCCCGCTACTTTTACATGCCCCCTACCGCCTAACACTTACCTATGGCCCAGGTTCACCGGCGCCCAGACGATCTGTGCTGTTTCCCAACAGTTCCGGGTTGAGGGGAGGGATCACAAGGCCAATGAGGGCAGGGCAGCGATAGGCCGCTCCAACAGTTCATCAAATTACTGTGAGGAGGCGGGAGTAGGGCTGTGACTTCTTGAGAACTCCAGTGAGGATAAATGTAATTCTGCTGTAGGAGGGACCCAACAGGCTCCACCCACTACAGGCTGTCTGCAGAAAACTATAGGGGGCGGAGGCAAGACCAGTCACCCTGCTCAAGAAAAGAGCAGCAGTGATCGTTCTTTATTACAGGAGGGGGCGGAGGCAAGACCAGTCACCCTGGACAAGGCGAGAAAGCAGCAGTGAGCTGTCTTTATTACAGGAGGGGGCGGAGACAAGACCAGTCACCCTGGGCAAGGAGGGAAAGCAGCAGTGACCGGTCTTTATTTCAGGAGGGGGCGGAGGCAAGACCAGTCACCCTGCTCAAAAAGAGAGCAGCAGTGATCGGTCTTTATTACAGGAGGGGGCGGACACAGGACCAGTCACCCTGGACAAGGAGAGAAAACAGCAGTGAGCAGTCTTTATTACAGGAGGGGGCGGAGACAAGACCAGTCACCCTGGACAAGGAGAGAGAGCAGCAGTGACCGGTCTTTATTACAGGGGGGGCGTAGACAAGACCAGTCACCCTGGACAAGAAGAGAGAGCAGCAGTGACCGGTCTTTATTACAGGAGGGGGCGGAGACAAGACCAGTCACCCTGGACAAGGAGAGAGAGCAGCAGTGACCGGTCTTTATTACAGGAGGGGGCGGAGACAAGACCAGTCACCCTGGATAAGGAGAGAGAGCAGCGGTAACTGGTCTTTATTAGGGGGGCAGAGACAAGACCAGTCATCCTGGATAAGGAGAGAGAGCAGCGGTAACTGGTCTTTATTAGGGGGGGCAGAGACAAGACCAGTCATCCTGGACAAGGAGAGAGAGCAGCGGTAACTGGTCATTATTAGGGGGGGCAGAGACAAGACCAGTCACCCTGGACAAGGAGTAAGAGCAGCAGTGACAGGTCTTTATTACAGGAAGCTCAGACTGGATGACTGCGCAGATCTGGGAGACATACACAAAGCTCACCAAGAATGAAGAATACACATGGCTCTTGTATTTGCTTACTCTGGATTTCAGTTTTAATGGAATTGACCAATGGAAATGGAATTGTTCAACACAACACGAACGATGAATCTGCACCCATCCACTCACTCTCAGTGTACAACGTTTATTGGAAAAAGTAACCAAAATGAGAGTTTCAGAACTGATCCACTGCCCCGTACACCACACAATGGCAGACCACACCCCTCTCCATCTGATACACTTTACACGGTACAGAAATACGATCATTACTGGCTACATAGATATGATATAAATATAATTGCCGGTCACATTGATGCTCGTGTCTCCAGTGTCAGTGTTCCAGTTAATAAACAATGAAAACCTCTGATGTATGTACAGATTGTATAGGTGTCGATGCTGGGGGCTCCCACCTGAGTGCTGATCATGTTGGGTGGAGGGTCCCCGGGCACTGCGCTCCGGCTCTTGTCGGTGTCAACCGGCTTCCCTTCTCATCAGCTTTCCAAACTTTTAGCTCTGACGCTCCAGTTGCCAGGCAACACCGACACCGCGTGCTCCGGGGCGTGGCCTCCCTGCAATGTGATCCGTTCCGTACAATGAGTGTCTGATGAATATTGTATATCGGGGGGGACAAAGGAGCGGCCGTTGTCATGGAAACAGTGCGGTGACCGGGTTACTGCTCACCTCATGACTTCTATGACATTCAATGCTGCACCAGTGTGACACATTAAAAGTTTTGTATTTGCTTGTCTACACATTTGTAGTCCCAATATTTCCACCATTCTGTACAAACAGCAGGGCGCCATACCTACATTTCAATGGGCCTACACATTGCTCGTCACCGCCCTCCCCACCTAGATCTTTTATCACTGGCGGTCACTAGAAAGCACGGGACCCCCTACTACAAGCCTCTTTACAATGGTGGTCACCTGACCTGTTTTAGTGGTGATTACTGTGGTATCCTCCATGGCATTGGCAATCATTGAGTCTCAGTGAAATGCGCATTTTGACGCTTGAGAAAAAATGCGCCACACTTGTAGCTGAATATGCTGCATGAGCTACTTTACGCATTTGTCGCACATGTACAGCCCATCGATTAAATAGGCTATGGCAAACAGACATGTGGCAAACAGGAAAAACGACCATTACATTACTGGTCATTGTAAAATCCCCCATTACATTACTGGTCATTGTAAAATCCCCAATACATTACTGGTCATTGTAAAATCCCCCATTACATTACTGGTCATTGTAGAATCCCCCATTACATTGGTGGTCATTGTAGAATCCCCCATTACATTACTGGTCATTGTAGAATCCCCCATTACATTACTGGTCATTGTGGAATACCCCATTACATTGGTGGTCGTTGTAGAATCCCCCATTACATTGGTGGTCATTCTAGAATCCCCCCATTACATTACTGGTCATTGTAGAATCCCCCATTACATTAATGGTCATTGTAGAATTCCCCATTACATTGGTGGTCATTGTAGAATCCCCCATTACATTACTGGTCATTGTAGAATCCCCCATTACATTACTGGTCATTGTAGAATCCCCCATTACATTACTGGTCATTGTAGAATGTCTTGCGATGGTTGTAAGGTAATTTTAAAAAAGTACGATCTGTCATGCGATGGTTGTAAGGTAATTTAAAAAACGTACGATCTGACTATCTTGGACAGGCAGATCGTACTTGCGATGATCGCAAGCCCGCCCCACTGAGGGGCGGGCTTCCGATGACCGCAATGCTGAACGGGCAATGTGCGATTGCGCACACCGGCCCGTGCGGCATTTATCTTACGAACATTCCAGACACCCGCCGACAATCGTATGATTCACGGCGGGTTTTCGAACATGTTCATAAGATAAACGTGCAACCTTACAGTAGTAGAGGTCGCACGCCTTCCACACACCTTGTGATCGTACGATTGCGGGATTTCCCGCCATTATCGTGCGATTATCGCAAGGTTTGTGGGCACCTTAACTGAGCAATCTACTGACATGTTTGTCACTCCAGGTTAGTAATCAGAAGAATTCGTTTCTAGGAGTGTTATTTAACATGCTATCATTTAATTGTCTACTAGCCAACAGGTGTTTTTTAACTGTATTTAGTCAATGACTGTGGGATCATTTGATTTCATGTTGTGAGCAGTTGATGAATAATTAAAGCAGGACTCTGGGTAATTTTATTCTTAACTCTTGCAGTGGGGCTACCCTATCACTGAAAGGGTAAAGTGCTCATTTCTGTCTAGGTTCAAAAGTAACAAAGTTATACTCAGCAGATCCTTGCACCTGGCCAGTTGTGACATTTAAGGGCCTGTTCACATGAGCTCAGGTCCTGATCATGTGCGCATCTGCAGACTGATGCAGTGCGTTTTTGCCACGTTTTGGCCGCGTTTTTGATGCGTTCCAGTAATTATTATTTTTTTTTGCTGGAGTGGGGCTGTTAGTATGTTAGCTGCAGTGCAGTGCGTTTTTGATGCGTTGGACGTGTTTGCGTTTCCTGACCGTTTGCGGACCGGACAAAATGTGACATGCAGTATTTTTTTCTGTGGTAAGCTGAACGGACTGCGCACGTGAGAACTGGAGCCCATAAAACACATAGTGATACATTGGGATGCATTTTGAGTGCAGCAGCATACGGAGCCGGTCAGCACACAAAACGGACGTCGTGTGAACAGTCCCTAAAGCCAGCTTGGGACACAACAGCTGCCGCCACTGGAATTGATTGTGTTCTAAGGCTGTATAGCAGACATCCCAACCTGCAAAACCTTATTTCAGGGAGGTTCCCGTCTCATTTCAGGGAGGTGCCCTTTCTGTTTTTCGGGGGTTTTTTTTACAGCGGCCGTCGTCAGAATATAAAATAAATAATAATGATTATATATATATATTTATATATACACACACATACATATACATACATACATACATACATACATACACAGACACACACACATACATACATACACACAGAGTAAAATAAAATCCATATAACAATAATACAATAATATTATATATTTATTTATATATACATCAGATTTGTGAATTGATGTTCAAGTATCT